AAGATGAAACGCTGGAAACGGAGGGTCTACAGGGGTTCAAGGAGAAGATATCTGTTGCTTGTGCCGAGAGAGAAGAACAGAATCTGAGGAAAGAGTCCAAGGATAAGGAGGGTCTAGAAGTGTACGGAATGTTGAAGGAAGGAATGGGGTTCAATGATTAACTACATGGACCAATGGATGCAAGAACAAAGCTTAAGGTCGAAATCGGGACCGGGGACATTGGCCTTCGAGAACGTNTACATGGACCAATGGATGCAGGAACAAAGCTTAAGGTCGAATTCGGGACCGGGGACATAGGCCTTCGAGAACGTCGACGAAGAAATAGGACGGTAGACGACGAAGACGACGGGTTCAAATGTGATTGCGGCTTCGAATGCGAAGACCGTGAATGTCCGTTGTACAAGAAGGAGAGGGAAGTGTACGTGACTGAGCTGGGAAAAATAGATGGGACGTATAGGGAGATGTTTGAGGCATGGAATGGGAGGAAAGGACGGTAGCTGTACTGGGGCATAGGAGGTGGGTTGAAAAGGCGGGAATGGATATCGTTAGGATAGACAGACTGGGGAAGACATTATTGAGCCACCTTTGGCAAAGTCGAAAGGAACGATTGGCCATCGGTGATCGGTCCTGTGGGNCTGTTTCCTTTTATTTTCTTCTCTTTTTCCCTCTATTTCTGTGCCAGATGGCCTTGTCTCTGCTTGCGTTGTGAAGTACCAATATTGAACTAAGGGGGTGTACCTCATTATCTCCGGCCCGTGATGGTGACCCCTAGTCTCAGTTGTTACCTCGCATAGCGCGCAGAGGGAGTAGAGGACTCCAGAATATCTGTCGTTGATTTCTATTGATTTGCGGACCCCTCGGGGCCATTATGTTTGAGTGTACCTTTTTAGGGTAAGTTAGCTTGCGACCACGGGAATCGACCGCGTCGAGTGTTGGATCAGTACGGCTGTACGAAGGTACTGGGTAGAGAGAGATCGGAACGGTTTTCCATGCGAAGACAACAACAACAATAACAACATGCGAGGAAAACAGAGTGCTGCACTTTTTTTCACTTTCCTCGATAAAAAAACTCCAGGGCAAGCATCGCAGAAGAGGAACACGTCGGTGGTATGAACACGGCTTGGAGCCAGCTCCCATGCATACCCTACCCGGCATGCTGTCCGCAGGCGCGGGTATTTTGAAGGTGATGAAAAAGAGAGCAAAATAACAAATGCACCAGAGGTATGCAACATAGGAACTCAACTCTACCTCACGGCCCGGCGAAGCCGTCCGCTGTAGCTCCTTGCACGTAATCGATTTTGTCCCTTCATCAGTAGGTACGCGTTCAGTACCACGTTGCCGCATTACCGACCAACTACACCAGTTGAAGAACACCCGTGTTGTCAGCCCCGTGTTGTCGCGACCACATCTCCCTTGCCCTCAGAAAATAAAATTGTACTTCTACAAGAACTTAAGCAGGAAAAAAACGTTATGAAGTATGTTTCTATCGCGAGATGATTTCTTGTAAGCAGGTATCTACTGCTGTAGGTCGTGTTCGACGTTCCACAGCACGATATTTGCTGGTTACCATAACTACTGAAAGAGGTTCTTGTTCCTCCTGTCGTAGTTCATGCCTTCATGTCTAAAGCGAAGCGGGCGCCACTCCTCCCCAACACCAAACTCCGCACGCTCTCTCCCTTACCGAAAGTACCAACAATTGTACACGCATATGCTCCTATTACGTACATGAATGCTGTAGATGCGGATTTGTTGGGCAACCAAGGACTGCAGCACATTACAGCAGCAGTACTTAAGGCTCAAATGTAGTCTGGCAGACTAGATTGGTTTTCTTACTCACAGCAGCGAGTACGAGTAACTGCATGCCACACTTGATGCACAACACTCACAACGCCGAACCTCTCGATGCTGCCACTACTACTGTAGGCATAAAACGCTTGCTATGGTTGCGAGGGGGATGCTTCCTACCCAGAAGACCTCTGCCGTGTGCGCGGCGGAGGTACAATCGATGCGTGCGTCCGACTCGCCTGCGCGTTGGCCGGCATTTTCTATGTGAAACAAGAAGCAATAATCCGAGCGTCTTCACTAGCCCCGTCGTGCCGCCGATTGATTTTGCATCAGCCGCGTGGGGGAGGATTGATTGCGTCACACCACTCGCTGGGGGTGAGCCGTAAATTCTATGAGGTTCGGAGTGTCGTGTGCGTTATCTATTGAGAAACGGAGGCGTTGGCGGACCGGCACGATTTGTAGCTGGCCGCGTGAAGGCGCAAAAAGATGAAACAGGTGGCGATAGCGGTCTTCGCACCACCTGCTGCCGCTGTCCCCTTTTGGTCGACCGGCACAGAGAGGCTGCGATGGTAGCACCTGGGTGTGTGCGCAGCTAGGAAGGGCTTATCCCAAGCGGGGTGAGGCTGGAGGGGCGGCCCAAGGGAATGGCCGAACCCTTCGCGGAACACGAAAAAACTGACAGAATCAAAAGCACCGTCACACGAAGACCTTCTACTAGCAAGAACGAACACCGCAGGCACTGACTGCTTTCCTCACCCTGTTGTGCTTCAGCCGGAACGGAAGCCTGCGATGTCTGACTTCGGTTGCACCACCAACGCCGCCTTGGGAAAGAGCCGCTGTCGTGGTGCCGTTCTCATTCAGTCGCTTGCTATCCGCCCGCTTCATCTCGTGTGCTTTATCCTTTCGTCAGATGGGCAACAGTAGTGGAGAGAGTTCGCCGGCTTTCTCTCCCTCGCTCGCTACTCTATCGCCGTGTGGTTGCAGAGCGACGCGATCCTCGCCAAATCAAGCACCTCCGTGTGTTCTCCACTCCACTCCTGTAACACCCTTGTCCGTGTGTACGGCGGCCGAATCAGCCTAAAATCTCCGGGTCTCCTTTAGAGCGCTACCGCTGCCACTGCCCGCTGCTGCTGTGCAATGAAGATGTACCCCAGGTGTCGAAAAAGCGGGAGAGAGGGGTGTTGCGCCGCATATCTCCGAACGGGCAAAGACTACGTGCTGCAGAGCTGCAGATAGGCCCTTCCCCCGCCCGGCGACTTTTACTTTTTTTTTCGGCGTTTTGTGGACCCAGTGGGGGGGGTACCGTGGCACGCGGGGGTGCTACAGGGAGCTGAGAGGTTCATAGCCTCTTGGCACAAGGGCAAGGAGGAGGCCAGCCGACAACGAGCCATCAAACGAGGAGACAGCGGGCCCAAAAATAGTCTAGATACGGCACCAATCAACGGGGCGGTAGGGGGGCGGAAGGAAACGGCGCGGCGGGAAGAAAGCAAGCGAGAAGAGACCGACCGCGTGACGTGACATGTTGCGGTCGAATTTCAACGACTAATTTTTCTGTTGCCCTCTCCCCCGTTTGCTGTCGCGTTCAGACTGTCTCTAGGGATATCCCTGTCTCTGTGCGAGTTTGTTTGTGTCCTCGTCTTTGCTTTATTCTGTTTTATTTTGTCTTTTGTTTTGTTTTTTACTGGCTCGTACCCCCGCCCCTTCCTTTGGCCGTCGACCTGCCTCCATGTAGTGGGAGGCTACCCCCCCAGGCTGGTGGTGCGGCCGTTCCACTAGTCTGTTTGGGGTGTCGGCGCGTGTACTATGTTATCACGCTCGCGGGCTCTTGTCGAGAGCGTGTTGCACAAAGGAGTGACTCAAGTTCCTAATCAACTATTAACGAGTTATTAACGAGTGACAAGCATGATGAGCAGCAGGCAAGAAGGACCTGCTGCTGCACACACGTCTGCACATACCCAAACCTATCATATATGCGTACCCCCTCGGATATATCCTGCCGAGTACATACACAAACAGCCCCCCTACTCGGTACGAGATACGATCTACGAACCTTCCGTACATATCGCCAGGTAAAACGGCAACAAAACCAAAACCATTCATCTTTCATATTCACAAATCATCTCAACTTCCCGATCTATTGAATATTCAAATTTCAAGTTACTATTCCTCCTTAATCCACTATGTATGTTGGAACTTCACTAGAGTCTTAACAATCATCCCTCTCGAGAAAATGTCGTCACCAAATTCTCAAGCAGCCAAAAACCAAGAATCATCCTTAGAAAAATACTCCGCAAAGATCAACATTACATCAGAGTCACGTCATGAAGACTTTGGACGGACAACTCCGGAAAAGTGTGTCAACTATTACTTCGGACAAGATCCTCGCACAAAACCATGTTTCAGCTCATTGACCAATCTCAAATAAGCTTCGGAAGCACATAGGCCTCAACCATGTCTTACCAAAATATGCCAATTCCTTCCTTCAATATATCATTCAGAAAAACCAAAATACCAAATACGGCAAAAGAGACAAAGGTTAAAAACCCGGCGCATATTTAAACGCCAGAGGAAACTTTCACCAATTAAGCCGTTTCTCAAACAAAGAGACAACATCAATTTCTTAGCAGCCCCTGGCCACAATATCTCCCAAAACATAAAAACTTAACAGCCCCCCTGCTGCAATAACTCCCGAAACAGAAAATGCAAGCCATCCAGTATTTCGTCTGGATTGCAAGAAACAGAATACAAAACATATACCGATTGACATCTCCCCTTCAACATATCTCCGACCATGGAACTCAATCCGTCCTACAGCAATACATGCAAGGCACAACTCTCGAATACTAACAACGAGAAAACAAACAAATATCATGAACTTATCTCCGAAAGCCGCAGGTAAAACGCGGAATCGGAAACAAACAAGAAATTCTCATCATTTTCCGCAGGTAAAACGGGGAAAACGTTTACAAAATGAACAAAAACCAAACCCGAACGTCTGCTAGAACGCTGCTTGTACTGCGACGAGGATCATGGCATCACAATCACATTCATCCCCCCCCATGATTTTCGACAGCAGTGCTAGCAGTGGTCCAACGATGTCAACTGAACCATTCGGCGTGCTGAATTCTTAGATTATCCAAACTCAATGCCCAACATATGAAAATCACAATGTAACCAACCATGCGCATCGCAACTCTAAGTCTACGTCGACACAGTTCTCAAACTCATGGTTTTCGACAAACAAAACAAAACCAAACCTAGAAATAACCCAAACACAATAATTCTCACAAACGTGCCTGAACCGCGCGTAGATCCAGAGCTGCGTCGTTGCAACCATCGGTCATCCCCCACTGGAGCTCCCGATCACGAAGTCTCTTACTTCCTCCTTTGGAGATCCCGATCACCAAGTCTCTCACTTCATGCCGCACACTTCTGCCACGATCGATCCTCCCTTCCTGGCATTACCCCCCATCGTCCCGCACGACGTAGATGCCATTGCTCACGGTCGGATGGGCGCCGGGATGCCTTGCACCGGCGGACAACGCCCCGATGCCGCCGTCACCGCTGCCGTCGCTACTGTTGCCACCTTCGTCGCCATGGCCCAACCAACAGCTATCCTCATCGCACTCGTCCTCCGGCTCTTGCGCTGCTGACGCTTTAGCCGCAATTCCCTGCGTCCCAACCGGCTCCCACACCGCCGCCGCGGGCAAGACTCTGCTGCCGGCGGTCGCCGCTCTCGCCGCCGGTGCTGCCGTCCATGCCGTTGCTCCCGCCGCGAGTGCCTGCGCCCCGGCCGTCTCCCCTGCCGCCGCCGCGGGGAAGATTCTGCTGCCGGGGGTCGCCGCTCTCGCCGCCGGTGCTGCCGTCGATGCCGCTGCTCCCGCCGCGAGCGCCTGCCCCCCGACCGTTCCCCCCGCCACCGTAGTGGGGAAACCACCATCAACGGTCGCCGCTCCTGCCGCAGGTACTGTTCCCCATGCCACCGCGCCAGCTGCAAACACGGGGAGCAGCGCCTCCTGTCGATGCCTTTGCCTCCTCCAGCGTCGTCGCTTCCGCTGCTGGTGCGGCATAGCGTCGTTGCCATTCGCGTTGAGACCCTCTCCGTCACCGACGGGCACGTGCTGTTGCATGCGGTCGATTGTGCAACACATGCGGCGCCGATGGCCATACTCACCGCAGGCAGTGCAGTTGCCTTCAAAGCGTCGTGGCGCATTGCAGTCGCCAAGTGAGTGTCCATGCCTCCCGCATCTCACGCACTGATGAACGACACCAATCAGAGCACCCTGCGGCGAAGCTGACTCCTCTTGCGGGTACACAGCGTTGCGCCCACAGTCATAGAGCCCCCCAGATCCCCACGTCGGGAAGTTAGGAGGTGGGTAATGTGCAGGTGGTGGCTGAGGACGAACCCACTGCTGCTGCTCCCGCTGTTGCCGCCACCGCCGTTGTAGTCCCCCCTGACCGTGGCCACCATGACCGGACCCAAGCCCACCAACCGTCACCGCTGCCGCCGGTGCCGCCTGCGCTTTGCCCAATTCCTTCATCATGACCTTGTTGGCGTATGCCGCGCGAACAACGTTTTCCACCTTCGCTCGGGAAATGGTGGGGTCGGCCAGGATGGACTTGCGTTCGATATCGTACTCGTGCGCAAGCTGGCGGACAATGATGTGCACGATAGCCCGCTCAGATTTTTCGATGCCGACAGCTTTCATGATGTTGATCACTCCGTCTACTCTGGCGAAGAAGAGTTTCGGGTCCTCGCCGGGATGCATCTCAATCGTCTCAAGTCGCCTCACAAGCAACGTCTTCTCAGCGTCAAGAGTAGGCAACAGCCATTCGTGGATCACGCTCCACGCCTCAGGGACGCAGTCGCAAGCACCCAACCGTTCTTCAATGTCCGTGCCGCAGGTTGCTTCCAACATGTACCCCCACGCCCGCTGGTGAGCTGCCACCAGATGTGCACCGTGAGTCTGGTTCAGGTATGTGCGATCCAGACAACTGATAACGTTGACATAACCAGTAGATGGCATGTGGTCAAGGGTTCGCTCCAAATCCTCGACAGCCAGGAAATTCCGCATTCTCCGAAGCCAGCTCACGGCCTTCGTCGAATTCGTCGGGATTTTGGGCGGGTTGCGACTGCTGCTGTAACCGCTCAAAGCACAATTTCCGTCATTTTTCATGCTCACCCGTTGTGTACCGAGCCCAGCTCCACCAGCTGCCCCGGCAGTCGTTCTTCCGGCAGCCATTGCTCCTGCCGGTGCATCGTTCTTCTCCCTTAGATGCCCATATTCCATCTCCGTCCAGTACTTCTCCCACATGTTCTTCCTCCGCCTAATTACGCCGCAAAAAAAAAAATGCGGCACGATGTATCTCCTACTGCTGTGTCTTGTAGCTAGACTTATTCTTGTTCACGTAACTGGATCTCCTTGGCACGCTTACCGCTGCTGCCCTTGTATTCCAAATGCTGTCCCTGGATCTCCTTGGCGCGCCTGTCGCGGCTGCCCTTGTATTCCAAACTCTTACCCTGGATCTCCTTGGCACGCGCGGGCAAAAACCGCCCTGCTGCTGCTGCCCTCGTATTCCAAACCCTGTTCCCTGGATCTCCTTGGCGCGAGCGGGCAAAAACCGCCCGCTGCTGCTACCCTTGTGTCCCGGTGCCTACCTCCCG